AGGGGTTGTCTGTAGGCAAGGATTGGCCTGTCTTCTAAGGCATGGGAGAGTGAGGGATCATTTTCCAGGATAGGTGGTAGATTGTCAATGATGTGCTAGAAGAGTTTAAGCTGGGGGCTGTAGGTTATGACCAGAGTTGTTCTCTATTCTTTTCCTTATTTGAGCCTGTCTTGAAGTAGTTTACTTCTGGATATTTGTCTGGATTAGGGTTGCCAGGTGTCCGGTATTCACCCGGACAATCCGGTATTTTCACCTCCTGTCCGGTAAAAAAAATTCAGAGAATACCGGACACCTAAAATGTCAGGTATTTTCTGAATTTTTCCCCAGTGAGGGGGTGAAAATGCCAGGCACCTGGCAACCCTACAAACACTCGGGCTATGTCTACACTCACGGCTTCTTGCGCAAGTATGGCCGTTCTTGTGCAAGAATCCGCAAAGCGTCTACACTGCCCGCCCGCTCTTGCGCAAGGAAATTTACAGTACGGCATGGTAAGAGAGGGCTTCTTGCGCAAGAGTTACGCTCTTTTTTAACAGGTGTAAGCCCTCTTGCGCAGGAGCTCTTGCACAAGAGGGCACTGTGGACACTCGGCAGGGATTTCTTGCGCAAGAAAGCCCTATGGCTAAAATGGCCGTCGGAGCTTCCTTGCGCAAGAGAGCGTCCACACTGCCATAGGAGCTCTTGTGCAAAAGCACAGCATGCATATGGCAGTGTGGACGTTTTCTTGCACAAGACTTCTTGCACAAGAACCCTTGCGCAAGATGTTTTTGCGCAAGAAGCTGCGGAGTGTAGACACCCCTCCCCTTGGCTCCCAACACTCCCAGTCCCCATGCTTACCTGGTTCCCCAAGGCTGCCTGCACAAAATGGCTGCCAGCCAAAAGACCTAGGGGAAGGAATGCTTTTCCCTGGATCTTAGTGCCCAACTGCTTCTATCCCTGCACTCACTTTTAAAGGGGACATGCTGTTTCAATGCTGTTTTGTTTAAAAAAATTTTTTGGCTTAATAAGTCCTTGGAGTCTTTTTTTCTTTTTTCTTTTCCTGAACAACTTTGGTCTCCCTCCCCCTTTTTTTCCCCCTTCAACAGAATTTTTTCCTGTTTTTTTGGGGGGGGAGGAGGGGTGTTCAGTATTTTTGTTTCAACCATCCAGCAACCCTTGCCTGGATCTGTCAATCTGTTTTTCTTCATTTCCCCAGGTGAGTGTTTTAAGAATGTCTGATAAAGATCTTGTAGGTGTTTGTGTCTGTCTGTGAGATTGGAGTAAATCCAGTTGTATCTCAGGAGTTGGCTGTGGACAATCAATCGTGTGATGTGTCCTGGATGGAAGTGAGAGGCATAATTTGTTGTCATGCACACCTTTTATTATTTTGGTGTAGGTTCTGTGTATGGATACTCTGATTTCAGAGTAAAAGTAAATTTATACTTGCAAGCTAAACCAACACAAGCTAGGTTTAAACTGGTACAAGAGTGTGATATAATTAAATAAGTTTACAATCACACTTTTATTTAAATCAGTAGAGCAGGCCTAATTTTAAGAAAATAAGGAATTGACTTATGCAGAAGCAAAATAAGGCAAAAGCAAAATAAGTCTGGACATTCTTATTATGAAATAGTAGGAATGTCAACGTGTAGTCAACTACCCTGTAGGAGAAAGAAAGAAAGCCTGATGCGTGGGACTGGTGCAGAAACCAAAGTAAGCAAGAGTTATATTGTAAGTAACAGACAGGCCATGTTAAAAGCAAATATTTGCCTGCAAGTCAGTGTTTTTGGCTACATCTACACTGCAGCGCTATTTCGGGATACCAGAGGTATCCCAAAATAGCTGTCCCGCTTCTTAACAGCAAGCCCGTTATTTTGGAATATAACGTGCCTGCTATTCTGATGTCCCTATAAACCACACAAGGAGTAAGGGACGTTTCAGAATAGTGGGTTAACCGATGTCCCTATAAACCTCACAAGGAGTAAGGGACGTTTCAGAATAGTGGGTTATTTCAAAATTGAAATAAGCTATTTCAAAATAAGATTGAAATATGACACAATTTGGATAGCTGAAATTGCATGTCTTATTTTGACCTTCGGTGCAGTGTAGACACACCCTTTATGGTCCCAACATTCTTACAATTTGCTAAATTTGATAAAGTACCCAGGATGGTCATAAGTACAGTAAAACTATGCACCTTATGATGGCAGTTCCAAGATGGACACAAGAACCAACTATGCCAGTAGCATGGGTACTCTGGTCAATAATACATACATACAGCACTACCCCACTATGTGTCTAGTAACAAATACAGGTATGAAAATTAATCAGGCCTGCTGTATAAAGCATAGGGGATGGTGGTTGTGTGACTGTTATGCTACAGGTAAGAGCAATAACACAAAGAAAGGATGGGTTTGATTGGTACATAAGGACTTGGTTGCTGAAGTAGTTAGAGTTCATAATGTAGTGTGTGCATTGAGATATTCTGACTTCTCAATTCCAGGAAACACTTATTCTGCAGAGCGGCCTGCCTCCCTCCTTGTGCACTGCCAACTTTATCAGAGGCAGCAGTGGGGGAGAGGGGAGGCTGACGCGGAGCAGCCTCTGTCTGTGGGGAGCCCGGGCTCATTACAGACAAAGGCTGCTCCGTGGGATGTCAGTGTAGCCTCTGTCACTGGGTAGCTCAGGGCCCCTGTGGTCAGGTGCTGCTGCTAATACAGAGGCAACATTGTGGGGTTGCATGGGGCTCTCTGGGAGTGGGGAGTGCACTGGCTGTCTGCCCTGCCCCCCGGGGACTGTTGAATAATTGTATAACAGCTAAGATTTGATGTGGTTACACAATTATTACATTAATTGATATCTAACGTCCCTAGTCCATATATAAACTTTTGTGACAAAGTATCAGAAGATGTTAATTAAAATCAGTTTAGTTATTTGGATGGTAGTTTGTGTGTATGTAGATCAACCCCTAATGTTTGATAGTTTTAAGCAAAAAACAAACTGAGGGGCAGGTCAGCCCTTCAGCTCCTTTCAGTCATCTTATACGTTAAAAAAAAAAAAAAAGCAAAAAGAAAGCACAAGTCATTTCCTTTTCCTTTTTAGGTCACTTTTAAGAAAAAGCTAGTACATCAATTATAGATTCACTACTGCAGTTCTATCAAAAATGGAAAGGAAGTACTGTTTGTTGTCTGTAGAAAATCTCTCTGCCACTCACAGCCCAGTGTGTAAAGCTTTACCCAAAGCCAGACTTCATTTCCTGAAAGCCAGTGAGTGCAGTTAATTCTTCTGTATGGAAATACTTTGAACACAATGTTTTATTAAGGCAACATAGCCTTGTCCTGAAGAATCCATTCTTTAAAAAATGGTTTTGCGATAAAAGACTCTGTGAACTAGAGATGCTAAAATGTGTTTATTTATGTAAACATTTAACTGCTGAAAATTTCTGTGGTTACACGATTACACACAGGGGAGTGGCTCCCACAGAGTCGCCAGCCCCTGCCCTGCTGCTGTCTCTGTATCAGAGGCAGTAGTGCAGGAGGGGACAAGCGGGAGCCGTGCTTGCAGGTGCTCCCTTTCCTTTCTTGTCCATATAGCAAAGAAGCATGTTGAAGACAGAGAGAGAAGAAACAAGGAGTGAGGCGGGGGAAAAGAAAGGGCTAGGGAGTCAGCAGTCATAGAGGGGGGAAAAATACAGACCTGGGAAGTAATAGCAATGAAGAATTAGAAAGCTCTCTTTTCTAAAGCATTTGTGTATAATATCCAGGCAATGTGCTACAATCTCAGAAACTAATTTTCCTCCTTTTTTGGGCAATATAGCTATTATATTAATTTGCACTCAGTCCACGTGTGTACAGTCTACATAGATGATCAGGTTCTCCACCCTGTCCATGTCTGCTTGGGTGCAGTGAAGAGGGAAGGCTCCCTGATCCTCAATGAACTGGCCCTAGAACAAGTCAGAATGGTACAAGAGCAGTTCTAACTTACACCTTTGGGCTGTGTCTACACTGGCATGAATTTACGGAACTGCTTAAAACGGAATACTATTCCGTTTTCAGTTTTTCCGGAAAAGGAGCGTCTACATTGGCAGGCTCTTTTCCGGAAAAGCCCTTTTTCCGGAAAAGCTTCTGTGGCCAATGTAGACGCGCTTTTCCAGAAAAGAGCCCCGATCGCCATTTTCGCGATCGGGGCTTTTTTCCGGAAAAGACTACTGGGCTGTCTACACTGGCCCTTTTCTGGAACAGTGTTCCGGAATAAGGACTTATGCCCGAGCGGGAGCAGAATAGTTTTTCCGGAATAGCGGCTGATTTTGTACAGTAGAGCATCGTTGCTTTTCCGGAAAAAAAGCGGCTGATTTTCCGGAATAAGTGGCCCAGTGTAGACACAGCCTGGCTGTAAGGTCCTTCAGTGGAGAATCTGGCATAGTGGTGAATTTTACCACCCTGAAATATTGAGTCATGCATTGCTTGATAATGGACTTAATGACGTTTTCACCAGTTCCTTCATACATGCATAGTCTCTCTTACTCTTTGTAGAGCAGTACTGAGTACTGATCAATAATACTTTTACAACAACTTTAGTAAGTGATGCTACTGGAGCCAACAGTCATGCCTTCCTCACTTCATTGACTAAGATCAAGGGCTTCTCTTCTGTACCATTCCCAGACCCGTGTGTAAGAATCCTAGTGTGATTCAAGTCTTCCCTGTGACACTTACCTGTTGAGCTGTCCAGGGACCTCTGTATCACTTCCCATGTATTAATTAATAGGATGTTGTGAAAGTTTAAAGCAGTTAATAACAGCAGAGTTTTATTTTTGTGTATGTTTTTGATAATTGACACTTTTCACAGGTTAGGTATTTTTTTATATTAAAAATGAATTTCCTACCTACTACTGACCCAGGAAGGATTCATGTGAGACTGACCAGGAAATGATTCCCTGGACTAGAGACATAGAGAAGAAAATGTATTTCCTGTCATTTTTGTTTTTGCAGCTAAAACTGTCTCTGCTTTTGCTTTGTTTCCTGCAGCTACTTGATGTTGTCTCCCACCTGGCACAGAAGAATCTGCGGTTGCTCGTGCTGGGCCGCAAACACATGCTGACGGGATCTCCTAACTGGAAAAGGCCTATTGTGGCTGCTACGCAGAAGAAAGCAGACTTTTTCTTTGCTGAAAATGTGTAAGTATCGTAGAAGGTGACTACACGTACTGCAGGTCAAATCTAGATTTATTTTTATTTTTAATTAAAAGATTTACCCAGCATTGCTCAGATCCATAACTCAAATAAGTTTGTTTTTCATCATTTAAATCACTGCTCTGGGGTGGGGCTGAGGATGAGGGGCTCAATATGTAGACTGCCCCAGGAAAAGAGTAACTCCAGTGCTCTTTCGCCACAGCAGGTTGGGGACAGGTGAAAAGCACCTCTTCATGGCCGCTGCAGGCACACACACAAGCAGGCACACAACCAAACAAACTCTCTGATAGCTCACCCTTTCCCCATCCCTCCCCGCCAGCTGGCCCAGTGGGGGTTATATCTGTCCTGGTCCCCATCTCTGACCTCTTGCTGCCCCTCTATGGGTCATTCTGCAGTATAACTGTCCTTCCTCCAAGACCCCTCCCTTTCCATTTTGTGAGAAACTACCAAATTTGATGGTCCAAGCTCTTACCGTTCAGGAGGAGTTCTTGAACAAATGGACTCACGGACAGACAGACACACAAACTCTCTCAAATATATAGTAGATCCCTAAACCAGCTGATTTTTGACTTACTACTATTTATTATAAAGCACTGTCAGTTTTCAGCCCTTATACATGCAAAAGAGAACAACATCCCCCTGTTTTTTTCAACTCAAGGTCATCTCTGAAGAAGTGAGTTTTGCCCACAAAAGCTCATGATACTACAGGTTGGACCTCCCTGGTCCAGCACTCTCAGAACCTGACCAGTCTCGAATGGGATTTTGCTGGACCAGGCGAGGTCATATCTGGCCCCCCTGCCATACACCCCTCCTAGCTCTGGCCTGGCCTGCTGGCCTCCCAGCTGGCTCCCCAACTGTTGCCGGCCAACTGCCCTGACGACCCTGCAGAGCAGTTGCTGCTGCCGTGGCTCCAGGCACACAGTCATGTGCTAGGTCTCCCAGCCCTGCTGGGCAGCCGCACACCGGGGCTTCTGACCCCTCCGGGCAGCCATGCACTGTGGCTCCAGGTACACAGCCACGCACTAGGTCTCCTGGCCTCACCAGGCAGATGCATACCAGGGCTTCTGACCCCACCAGGCCTTCTGACCCCACCAGGCCACCACCATTGCCAATGCTGCTACTTTGGCTTGCAACCCCACCAGGCAGCCATGTGCTGAGTCTCCCAGCCCCTCTGCTGCACTCAGCAGTCCAGCAAGCAGCTCACTAAGGACAACCTACTGCCCTGCCATCCCCGCAAAACTCCCTACTGCTGACCCTCTACTCGGACTCTCTGGTCCTGCAGCATGCGTGCAGGACCACGGATGTTGTCGGACCAGAGAGTCCTGGTTTAGAGAGTTTTAACCTCTCTCTCTCTCTCTCTCTCTGTGTGTGTGTGTGTGTGTGTGTGTGTGTGTGGTGTCTAAATGGTGCTAAAATATAGAGCTCTCATATGTGTGTGTGTGTAGTCTCTAAATGGTGCTAAAATATAGTGTGTGTGTGTGTGTGTGTGTGTGTGTAGTCTCTAAATGGTGCTAAAATATAGAGCTCTCATAATTTAGAGGCTTAGGGTATATGTGTGCTGAAATAAAAGACCTGCAGCTGGTCTGGGTTAGCTGACTCAGGCTCTGGCTGAGGTGCTAAAAATTGCAATGTAGATATTCAGGCACAGACTGGAGCCCAGGATCTGGGACTCTCACCCCTTGTGAGGTCCCAGAGCTCTGGCTCCAATCTGAGGCCGAATGTCTTCACAGCAATTTTGCAGCCACACAGACCGAGCATTTTGAGTCCAAGTCAATTGACTTACACCTGCCGTGGGTGTTTGATTGGTATGTATATTTACCCATATTGACAGCTGAATCCACGGATTACAGGCTGAAAATTGCTGCTGTATGTGGACAGCACTAGAAAAGGATGAGATGCCCATTTCACTACATATTGCTTGACAGTAGAGGAATGTTGAGAGTAGGGAACCTTGAGCTCTAGTCCAGATTCTGGAAAGAGGGAATGTTTTCTAGTGGTCCCAGACTCACCTTCCCCTGCTGCAGTTTGATCTCTGCTAATCCCCCCACTGGCTTCTGGTCTCCCCATTGGAATCTCCGCCTTCCTCCCAACCTAGTTCACAGTCCTAGTTCCCTTCTTTGGCTCAGAGTCTCAACCTCTTTGCCTGGCTTCTTGTCTCAATCTTCTCATCCAGCAAGTCGCAGTCTCTCCCCCCATATCCATTCTTTATCTCCAACCCCTCCTCCCATTTTCCTGGCTCAGCCAGTCCCGGTGTTCCCCTAGCCTCCTTGTCCCAATTTACTTCATTTGCCATCTCCTTCACCCCTCATCAAGTCTGTCTCTTGTGTCCTCTGCATTTGAGTCAGGCCGCTGCTTGCATGCTGCCTAGGCACCAGCAGAGATGGCATTGAAAACACAGGACAGACAGAATCTCTGCTTCTAGTTCCTGTACCCAGAACCACAACAACCTCCGGCAGCAGGAGCAGCAATTTCATAGATACTCATTTTTAGCCTCTGATTGAGCTTACCTAGTATAGAGGGAATCTACAGAGAATGTAGCTGCCAAACTCTAGGAGGTCTCTACTGAGCATGTGTGAACTATGATTTTTCAAAGGCTCATGACTTGGCCATATAGAATTGTTTTTCATGGGAACAGGAAAAGGCACATCCCTGGAACAAAGATCCTCACTTCACCATTCCAAATTTCAGTCCCTACTCCAGTTTGGAGGTACTGAAGAGCTTCTCAGCAAAATTATTATAATAGTTTCTAACTTAGGCAAAGAGCATTTTTTTCTTAATCTTCTCAGAGTCAGATAAACCAATTTTGCTGAAACTAAAAAAATGAGCCTGAGCAGAAACCCAGCATGGAAAATTTCAGCCTGTGTGGTTAAAGTTTGGCCAAGTCATAAACAACTGAAAACAGAATCTTGTAATGCAACGTGTTAACTATAAACACACCTGCTGGGCTCCACCTCTAATAAATATGCAACAGCTCTTCTGACGTAGCTATTTTGAGATCCTTGGCATGGAAAGTACTGTAGAATTGCAGAGCAGTTGGTATGTCATGGGGCTTTTGTCAGGGAGAAATAAAAAGTTTAATAAAAAATTAATCTCTCTTTCCCAGTCCTGCTTCACATTAGCCTCATTTCAATGAAGATGAAGTTGAGTATATCCTGTGAAAAAAATCTTAGAGTTTCTTGGATCGAATGTGCTGACAAGTCTATGAAACACAGAGTTACACTGTGTTCACTTGACACTAGAGATGTTTACCATATGCTTACATTAAGTTATTGGTCTGTATGGATGCAGTACACTTTTGCATGAGAGTGTAGGATCCTGGAAAACTCAATTTGAATGTTGGTGATTCTGTTCAGTGTAGCAGTTTATTGTTGTCACATGGCAAGTTGCCGTTTTGTTACTTGATGTGTCATAGTGGGAAGGGGAAATGTTCTTTCTAGTAGTCAGCTACATTTTCATTCCCTTCTGAACATTTGGATGTTTTGTAGTAAACAGGAAAAGTTCCTATTTAACAGAGAACTTAGTAGTGATGGGAATTTGCATTGATGATGAATAAAATTCAGCTGAATGCCCGATTCATTTCCTGAAACCTTTGTGTACCCATGAATGACGTCTGTCTTATTTCTTTGTGGCTTGTTTAGGTCAGAAGATGACCCTTTCCTGTTATATGCCACTCTTCATTCAGGCAATCATTGTAAGTTCCTTACTAGAGACCTCCTGCGAGATCACAAGGCTTGTCTTCCCGACAATCTTACTCGACATCTGTTCTTTAAGTGGCAACGTGGACACCAAATGGTGCTTTCCCACTACTGGCCAGGAAAGAGGATAAAATTTCAGGCAAGTTCTCTGCTCTCTTTAGAAAACATACAAAACATACTCATTAAATGTGTAGTTATGGCCACAACTAATAAAAAACATAGAAAAAAATTTATTGAGGCTTACAGGCAGAATTTGTATGCATAAGTACATAAGCAGCACTGTGCTCAAAACCTCAGTTTCACTCTCATAGCATTTTTGCTCGTAAAATGTGGTGTTTGCCATTGTAGGCAACAATATTGATTAATAGACAAGAAAGTGATGCTTCAAGAGCATTAGCAGCTGTTTACCTGAACAGTTACTCATTTACCTTTACAGACCTTTTGGGTACAATGTATCCTAGGTGCACACAGAGCCATCCCATCCATTGGACGGTTCTGGGTGGTCGCTCTGGGCCTTGTGCTTTGGTGAGATGTGGCGTCTGGGCAGCCAGCAGCAGCACAACTGGCACCGCTTTATTCCAGCCTGCTTCAGGGGACAGAGGGTCTGGGTGGCGTGGGGGCTGGTGGTTCTGCTCTGCCTCACCAGCTCCCGGCATTACTCATGAGAGGCGGGATTAGGGCAGGGGTGGGCAATAATTTTAGATGGGCAGCCACTTCAGAAATTTTTGAAGTGACCTCAGGCCACCCCAGAAGGGGTGGAGTCTTGAACAGAAGGGGCAGGGCCAGGACACTTCCATGTTTCCCCACCCACAGACCCTGCTTGGCCTGGGTGGGGGGGTGCATGAAGTCTTTGCCACTGCCCCCTCCCCAGAGATAACTACCAGCTGTTCTGGACATCTGGCAGTTCCCTCTAGGCGCCAGTGCCCCTGGTGGAGGGAGGAGACTTTGTATGCTCCTCCCAGCCCCAGATCAATCAGAGCCTGGGGGAAGGGGGAACACAGGAAGTCTGTCTCTCCCTGCTTCTGAACTGCAAGGGGACCCCGCGCTTAGAGTCAACCACCAGCTGAACGGCAGCTGGCAATTGACTCTAAGCACCGCATATCCCTTGCAGGGCGGGAGGAGACTTCATGCGCTCTCCCGACCCTAGGTCAATCAGGGCCTGTGGGCCAGGGGAGCGCACAAAGTTTTCTCCCCTGCCAGAGGCATGCAATGCTTAAAGTCAATCTCCAGGGTCGACTCTTAAGTGTCACGGGACAGGGCAGGAGGAAACTTCATGCGCTTCCCCACACCCCCAGGCTCTGATTGTCTTGGGGGGATGGCGGGGGAGCGCACAAAGTCTCTCGTTCCCTGCCCCTGCTCTGCAAGGGGCATGTGGTGCTTAGTTACCCCTGTCAGTCTAAGCACTGCACGCTTACCCATCCCCAGCCCTGACTGGCCTGGGGGCAGGGGAGCAACAAGGCATCCGTGGGCTGGATCGACCCACTTGGTGGGCCGAATTCAGCCTGCGGAGGCCCTTTTGCCCTCCCCGGATTAGGGGCTTTGAAGAAGGAACAAAATGAGGGTGAAGGGGTGGAAAGAGGTAGGGTGAGGGTTTGGGGGAAGAGGCAGTGTGTGGGCAGAGCAGGGTCAGGAAGAGGTGGGCCTAGAACATGCTGGGTGGAGGGAGGGGGTGTCATGGGCTGGGGCTTGGGGTGGGATGCAAGGGTGCACATACTTGAAAATGTTACCCTGAGGGTATATCTACAGTGCAGTGAAAGTGAACCATTAGTGGGACTCCAATCAGCTTCCTCGTATTAGGGACTTACGGGCTTGAGTATCTACCTTGTATTTTAATCCTGTTAAGACTTCTGACCTGCCCAGAAGTGGGTCATGTGACCCGTCTAAGAACTCGTCCACTGCCCCTCTAAGAACTGCCCCCGATTGGTCAAAGCGGTTTGCAGGGCGGTCCTACAGGGGAAAAGCCCTTCCTAATTGCTAGAGGGTGGCGGGACGAGGTCTTAGAGTGGTCACATGACCCACTTCTGGGAGGGTCAACCACCCCGGAACTGCCCCGATTGGTCAAAGCGGTTTGCGGGGCAGTCCTACAGGGGAAACACCCTTTTTGGTAGAGGGTGGAGGGGTGAGTCCTTAGAGGGGTCAACTGACACCCTTTACTTCCAGTCACGTGTCCTTCTTGACCCCAGATGTACTACCCCCAAAGGCAGGTCTTCCGGTGTCAGGGGAGGGACTAGAGGGTTGGGGGCGGGGCTAACATTTGATTGATGGTAGACCCCTTATACTACTTACATAGGAAAGTGTTTGGTGCAGTAAAGAGATAAATTGTATTAGTTGGGTATATAATTAGTATACAGCTAAATGAGTGACATCCTTCTGAATATTATATGCTTAGTTTTGGCTGGAGGACGTCACTTACCATTTCCTTGGAGAGACCAATAATAAAATACTGCATACAGTTATTGTGTCTACAACTTAAACAGAATGTGGAAAAATTGGGAGAATGAGCAAAGAGCCACAAAACCAATTCAAGGTCTGGAGAAAATGACCCACATTGAGAGAATTAAAAAACTTGATCTGTTTAGTTTAACAAAACAAAATTGAGAGGTGACTTGCTTTACAGTATGTAAATAGCTTCACAAGCAGAAAATACCAATACTAATTCTTTAATATAGCAGAGCAAGGCATAATAAGAACCAAGGATTGAATTTAAAACTGGTCAATTCAACTTAAAAATAAGACACACATATTAAACAGGGTTGATTAACCTTTGAAACAAACTACTAAGGAAATTGATGGATTCACTATCTCTACATGACTGCATATTAAGATTAAAATATTTAAAATTACACAAAGCAGAAAGATTGTGTGTAGAGAATAATATTGAGAAGATTATTATCGTTGACGAGAGAGATCAAGTAAACAGTAGAAATTTTGAAGTCAACAAAGAGATTCCTGTGGTGTGCTTTCTGAGTTCAACAGAATGTGGACAGACAACAATACTGGGACTCTTATTAACATTTTGTATATGCATATTAACTGAGATTTATACATATGTCCAAGGTGGGTTGGCTGCAAGGTTTACTAACAGAAATATCCCTTATTGCTTGCAGTTGGACCATCTATCTATTTATTTTAACGTGCTCTGCTTTTTGTGTTTGCTGTTCTGCAAAACTATCCAACAGCTTTCTACTTATACTCCAGAGAAAGGGCAGGAAATGTTGCATAGTCATTACAACGTTTATTTTTACATTAAGCAAAGTCAATATAATATTTTTTCTTGTCTTTACCCACAGCCTATTCCCACTTACGACACAGTGGTGCAGACTACTGGTGACACTTGGCATATTCCCTATGATGAACAACTGGTGGAAAGATATTCCTATGAAGTGCCAACCAAATGGCTTTGCCTTCAACGGAAATAAGAAAGAATGCAAACTACAAACTTACAGTCTTACAAACTAAAACTGTAATTGTTCGCCAATGTTGCTAATGGGTGGATCCAGTGATCACGCACATTCATGGGATTAATACACCAAATACGAATTCTGCTGCTGACTAAATGATCAGTAATCATAGTTCACCAAATTCATATCTGCCATAACACCACTGAAGTCAGTTGTGTTATAGCAGGATGAATTTGGCCCATTACTTGCAGCTTTGATAACCAGAATTCATTTTGCCCTGTAGTAAATAAGAGATGTGTTGTAGCAGCATCATTTATAAAGATTTCATTGGGAGGAGGTAATAAAGTGATTAAGCACTGGGATGGTCCATGTATCCTCCTAATAAAATTTAGCTTCAAAATTTCCACAGATGTAAAATTTTGAACTTTTTTGTTGGGTGAAATAATAGTTTGTTTTTTAAATAAAAATGTATTATATTAGGATCTTCACAGTGGACAATAACATAACATAATTGGATTTTTATATAGCCTCTTTCACAGATACTTGAGTTAATTAATTAGATGACAGTAAAAGTGGTATAACAGAAAAAGTATTGTAAAACATTTATCATTACTTATTAACTCTTTGTGTGGCAATCATGAATCCTGTTTTTTCCATCTTTGTGGAAGAGTCTAAAGAGAAATTCATTGTCAGGTTTTGCGATATAATAAGGGAGCTGTTGGGTCTCCTATTTAAAGAAATAGCTCTCAGTGGGCTAGTCACAAATAGCCTCCCAGTTTGCAAGTCACACCCTGAATATCAGTGTGTAACTGCAGCCAGCTAGCCACACTTACATTTGGCTCTCAACAGCCTTGGTTATACTGCAGAGTGTTGTATAACTGCACTTCCCCAGTCTTAGATTTTCCATCAGTAATGTGTGTCCTGTACTGCTCAGGCCACTCCTGGACTCTACATGTTATCTGTTATTCCTTTAGCGCAGTGGTTCTCACTAGTAGTCCAAGGCCGCCACCCCACCTGGGCCACGGCTCAAGCTCAGCCCGCCTCCCCACAAGACGGGGAACCCACACTGCTGCCCTGCTGCGTGTGGCAGGGGAGCGAGCTTCCTCCCTCCCCCGCTGGGGGAACCGCAGCAAGGCTTTTCCTGCTGTTGCCATTGGCCGGTGCTACCTGGGCAGCGGTCTCAGTAGGGAAGCAGCAGCCCGCACACCACACCACTTCTCAAAGCCCTCTAGCGCTGCTGCAGCTAGGTATCCAGCCAAACCAGCAGGGAGCCAGCTCTGCTAGATGGGAGATTGGCTGTGCCGTGATATCTTCTCGCAAGTCCTGCCGCCTCCAGGAACTGCCTGGTGGGACGTGCCGCACCAGCCCCTTGAGAAGCCTTGGAAGCAGCAGAACTGGCCTGGTCACACTGCGGGGCTGAGGAAGCATGCAGAGGAGCCCAGAGGCCTTTCCTCATGGGACCTATCGACCCTGCCTTCTGCTCAGCGGTGCAGGCAGCTTCATTTCTGAGGAAGGGAGGGCTGCTCTGTAGGGCAGCTGCACGGAGTGGGGCTCCTCTAGAAGCCAAGGGAGGGGGCTACCTATCTCCCCAGGAGGTTGGGGAGGGTTCAGTCAGAAGGAGCAGGGATCCTAGGGGCTCTGCCCCCCGCCTTCACCCGTCACTGAAGAGCTGGTGTAAACAGAGAAACACTTCTGTATTGCATTGTGCCCAGTACATAAAATATGAATGGAAACACCTATCTCCTGGAACAGACCTTGACAGGTCATCAAGTCCAGTCCCCTGCCTTCACAGCAGGACCAAGCACCATCCCTGACAGATTTTGCCCCAGATTCCTAAATGGCATCCTCAAGGATTGAGCTCACAATACTGCATTTAGCAGGCCAATGCGCAAACCACTGAGCTATTCCTCTGAGTCCCCCGACTTGCTTTGTACCCCTGTGGAAAAACTCTGGAATCTCAGGATTTCCTGTGCTGATAAGATACCATTTGGATTGCCATAAGCACAAAGTCAGTGCAGAGAACAACAGAGGAGCTCCCAAGTGCTGAAATGGGTAGCAATTCTAAAGATTTGGTTTTCTGTCATAGCCTGTAGGGTTGTGCTACTTCTGGAAGCAATATATTATAGGAGCAATTCCTGCTACCAGTAGCACAGTCTTACAAGGGAGCAGCTCTCTACAAACCATCCTCCAATGGGAACAATGGGTGTGAAACCAGATAAGCGTCCCCCCTCATGCCCAGACCCTCACACCCCAATCTCCCTCACTCACTCCCTCCCTTACAAAGACCCCGCACCCCTAGCTTGCTCCTGTACCCTTCCTTGCTCTTGCTCCCTCCCCCCAGCCAGACAGACTTCTCCCATCCTGCTTCTGCACCTTACCTTCCACCCAGACCTTGCACCCCCATCCCTATCCCACTTGCTGGCAGTTCTGTCCTGCACACTGAACCCTTTATTTCTGTCCCCACCCCAGAGAAGAAGGAGGTCCACAAAATCCACTAACTCCAGAAACAGTAAAGTAAATCTGGCCTATGGGAAGCCCTGAACCTCAATCCTCCCTGTCACTTCCCCTCATCCCATGGGGCTGGAGCACCAGAGGAATGAGGTGTCTCAGTTGGGAGCCATATCAGTGAGGGTTGGGGGGGTTTGGAGGAGTTTTTTTTGCTTCTCACTTGCATGGTCTCCAACTGATTTTTCTGTGGGTCAGTGGCCCCCCAACCCAAAAACGGTTCCCCGCCCCTGCCATAAATAAAACATTGAAATCTTTTGTGTTAGACATAAATTCATATTTTACTGTATTTAAAATGAAGTTAGACTACCCTGAAAAAGTTAACACACAAATCTATTTAAGAAACACAGCGGAGCCACGAGCCCTGACAGTCCCCATTCGTTGACAGCCAGGATGACATTCTACAGAACCAGATACTCCCTGAGGGGGGATGGCCTAGGAGTAGCCAACCCATCTGCATATAACACTGTCAGCATGTTACAGTCAGGATCCCCACTGATCCGGGGCAGACTGCTTTGCCACTGCAAGGCTATGTCTACACTGGCGGGTTATTGCGCAAGCATATTTTGCGCAAGAAAGCATACACACCAGCCAGAAGCGCAGTGCAAGAACGCTGAGCTCTTGCGTGAGAAAGCGTGCACACTGGTGGGATGCCATTACGCAATAACTTGGCCCCGGAACCACTTTGGCCATGTCAAGAGGTCACCAGCGGCGTCTGTGTGCGCGCGCCGGACCCCTGCTGGGTAACGTGCTTAAAGGGACCCCTGGATGGCCATTTCCCTGTGGCTGCATGCTGAGGCATCTCACTGAGGCATCCAGAGACACAGCTGTGCCCTCCAACTCAGCCCCTGAGCATGTGCTATCGCTGCCTTGCTCACAGACATGGAGCCGGAGGAGGACCCCACCCAGCAATGTCCCATCACGTCCATAATTGAGGCTGCGAAGGTCCTTCTGCAGGGACCCACACTACTACAGCAGGAACTGGAGACCAGGCAACACATGCTCAATCAGATGCATGGAACAGCTGCACTCGGGCACTCCTACGCCATCACCAACAGGTGCCTGTGGGGACTGGTGGGAGCGCCTGATGCTGGGACAATGGGGCGACCAGCACCGGGTGCAGAACTTTAGGATGCACAGGGGGACATTTCACGAGCTCTGCACCTGGCTCACCCCTGCGCTCCGGAGGCAGGACACCTGCCTGCGCCCCGTGGTGAACCAGTTCGGGGTGGGCAGGTCCACTGTCGGCGTGGTTGTCCGGCAGGTAAGGCCCTCCGTAGACCGAGGGCTCGTCCTGGGTGAGGGAAGGGGCCAGACCGGGAGGGAGAGGGAGGCTGTAGGGGCAGGGGAAAGCCCTGCGCCCAGGGGGTCATGCTGTCCCTCCTGCCCACAGCTCCGCTTGTGGGGGGGGCAAATCCCTGGGGGGCAGTGGGCCCTGGCCTGCGTGGGGGAAGAGGCCCTCAAAGGGAGGGTGAGCACACCCCAGGGGCCTATTTACATACTGTGTCTCATTCCATGCATCCCCTGTGCTCCCATGTGCCCCTCTGCAAGTCGTCCATGCCATCAATGACGTGCTGCTCCAGAGGGTCATCCGCCCCCGTGACCTGGACGCCACCATTACCGGCTTCGCCAGCCTCAGGTTCCCAAACTGCAGGGGGAGCTGTAGACAGGACCCACATCCCCATCCAGGCACCGGAGCACCAAGCGGCCCACTTCATAAACCAGAAGGGCTACTGCTCGGTGGTGCTCTAGGCACTCGTGGACCACCATGGCAGGTTCCAGGACATTTATGTGGAGTGGTCCAGCCAGGCCCATGATGTTCGCATCTTCAGGCACTCAGTCCTATGCCACAGGCTGGAGGCGGGCACCTACTTCCCCCAGCGGGAATTCACCATTGGGGACGTCAGGATGCTGGTCTGCATCTTGGGGGATGCGGCCTACCCCCTGATGGCCTGGATGATACGGCCATACAAGGGCCGGCTGGACCTCCGGCCTTCAACGCCCACCTGGTCTGGGCCTGCAACCCTGTGGAGTGTGCCTTTTGCCTACTGAAGGCACGGTTCAGGTGCCTCCTGACCTGCCTGGACATGGGGGTGCAGCACATCCCGGAGGTCAACTCAGCATACTGCGTGCTGCATAATATTACTGAGGGGAAGAGGAAGGCCTTCATCCTGGGGTGGATGGCAGGTGAGTGTCAGGCGGAGGGAGGAGGAAGGGGCCCTGAACTGGGAGGAGGGGAGTGGAGGGGGTTCTGAATTGGGAGGAGGAGGGGGCTCTGAACTGGGAGGGCCTCATGGGTGTGAGGGGAGGCCTCTCCCACCCCCATGGGTATGGGGGCAGCTCTGCCCCTTGTGCCGGGTCAGGGCAGGCTGCACCAGGAGGTGCCGATGTTGGGGGGCTACAGGACGGGGCAT